TTTTATTACATGGGCCTTGAAAAATTCAGAAAGCTCATGTTTTAATTCAGTGTCATAGGGTCATTTGATCTGAAACCGTAGTCTCCTCTTTGTTTGCAGCTACACATAACCAGAATTTGAGCTTTGAATTGATCAGACGTCTTTACAAACTAAAGGCAAAGACAGTTTACTTTCACATTTAAGAGAAAAACTTTTAATACACACAGTATATCTATTTTTTTTTATTTTAGGTAAGCTTTCAACAAAAAAGACCGTACAACCATTTGAAGAATATTAGGACACTAAGACATTCCATCAGAAATGTTAGACTTATACAGGAACTGTATTACGGCACAAGTCATTCGATTATACATGTAATTCAGTACTGACAGCACCATTTGTTGTACATAACGGAGTTCGCCAAGGATGTCTCTTGTTATCTATCTTCTTCTGCATAGTTATTTGACTGTATCATGCGTACATCAATGACACCTCCCGTGGCATCCAGTGGACCCCAACAACAACAACAAAAAGATCTGGTCTTTACAACCAATATATCCAGCAAAAGAAAAATTAATGCAGTTGCACAATCAACGGGGCAGGAAATCAACATCCAAAAACTAAAACTTAGTTCCTACGAATTAACACGCACATAAACTCACTATTTGTATTTGAAGACACACGAGTTGATATTCAGATATATCGACGACGTTTTATCAATTAACAATGGTTACTTCCATTCATATGTCAACTCAATACATGTACATCCCAAAGAACCTGAAATAAAAGACAGCACAAAGCCTGCCACCTCTATTTCATATTTGATGATTTACTGACTACAGACGAAAAGGACTAACAACTTATTAAATTGTATGACAAACGAGATGAATTCAGCTTTTCCATCGTCAACTTCCCTTATTTGTATAGTAACATTCCTTTATCACTTACATACAGTGTTTACGTCTCTCAAAAGCTTGCTCTGAATTCGATCAATTTTTAAACCGAGGCAGGCCACTAAAAGATAAGTTGATGTTAGAGGGATTTCATCAACCTCGTTTAAAGTCAGCATATCGTAAATTCTATGGCCATTATATTGATCTTAAATTGTTAATATATTATAACCAATAAGTTAGTCGTATTTTGGCTGACGTATTTTATACCAGTTGTTAAGGCCTTTGTTTTTATACTAAATTGGACTACGGAATGTTTCATGTACCTGATAATACGTAACGCTCACGACGGGCGTTATCGGTCAAGAGGGGATGCTTACTCCTTCTAGGCGCCTGGCCCAACCTCTGGAATTTCCGGATGTCAGTGTTTTATGCCTTGTTCACAGATTTTTACTGTTTATAGATTTTTTTGAGATCGATCACTGTTTGTTATCTTCACTTTTATTCATTGATGATGTAGACAGTTTCATACCTAGGAAGTATCGTCAATAAAAAGGGAAATTAACGAAGATATAACATCAATGATAGGAAAATCAAAATAATCATTTGTTACAGTAAGACAAGAGTATCAGTATCAAGACCAAATAAAGACTGCATGTTTGAGACAAATCGGAAATCGGTCCCCTTTTATGGATTAGAAACCTGAATAGAACAGAATAGAACAGCTAGAACAGTCAGAAAACAGGCCGACACTATTGATTAAGAATAGTGTCCTATTGTACAGCGTTTTTGGTCAATTTTCCTTGAAAAATATTTGTGGGGCGACAAGATGTGCAGTGAGGGTAAGGCACATAATGTGGCCAGTGACAATATGTACATTTTTAACTTTTCGGCCGGTCGATCACAATATGTACCGATGGATGACAATATGTGCAGTGAGGGTAGGTACAAAACGACAATATGTACCATCACAGGGTTGCCGTCGGCCATCGTAGGCTTCAAGTGTTTGTGAACAAGCCTAGCGCCTTCGACAGATCATGGAATTAAGCTGGCCAGAGAAAAATCTCCAATTTAGAGAACCTTGGAAAAAAATCAACCAGCAGTCCAAAACAGATGCCATTCAATGAGAAAAAATGGCGATTGATTGGGCATATATTTTAAGAAGACACAACAACATCACGAAGCAGGCTATTGATTGGAACCCTTAGGGTTAACGAAGACGAGGTTGTTCAACTTGGACAACTTGGAAGAACGCTAGATGAGGAATTATGATCAGTCAGGATGTACTGGGGAGAGGCTAAACAAGCAGCCAAAGACAGACACAGATGGAGAGCTGTTCATGTTGTTGCAGCGGCCCTCCAGGGGCGAAGAGGATAATTATGCTTCTTTACTCAACAAAATGGAGAAGAAATTAAGGCATAAAATGCAATGTTTTTGTTTAAAAGATTATTTTTTGTTGCATGAATTTACATACTTTGTATTTTTCACAACTTGAACAAAAAGATATGAATTTATTTATTTTATTTTTTCAATGATAAATTCTTATAAACAATAACAAATTGCCCCCCTCATACTCTAGGTAAGTTCGCAGAGTGCTAGAATTATGTCGACAAGCCAGCTCAAAGATAATGTCTTTATTCAAATCTTGAATGTGACTTAAATAATATGTTTAAGCCCTCCTTATCCAATAGATGAATATTATAAGTTCACTTAATTTTTGTACATGCAATTGGTTTGATCACTCTGGAAGAGGATTGATGAAATTTAATACATGTATGTTCACGCACTGGTCTGACCATGTCAGATACAGTTCATGTACATGAATGTAATTGTATATCAATTGATCCTTTTTGTCCTCTTTAGTGTGTGTATGCTATTTCGTAGGCAAATAATTTCAGTCTTTGTGAGATTTTTGTAAATTGTAGAGATTTAGCATAAAATATACTTTAATGTTAGATGAAATATCAAAGAAAATTTTTATATAATTAAGATTTTATTTTTCACTTCATGTTTGTCGCACTATAGGCACTTCGCCCGCCTTGTTCACCCATCTTCTTTCTATCATCTATAAAATGTTTATTACTTAATTGTGAGCCAAAACGCTTGATTTGCATACAATAGTAGCCTATTGTTGTAAAGTTGAAAAGCATTTTAATTTTGGACTGCTTGATTTCTAAATCATTTTAGAACAATATACATTTTTTGACTTAAGCTTAAGATGTTTCATGATTCAAGGGCCAGGTCTCCCTAGAGAAATGCTCTACTAATGTTTACTGAGCTATTTGGCAACCAGCGATTGCCTGACCGCTCTGTATATTCCTCTGCCATTAGAAGTTTTAACCCCCGTGGCTTTTCCGTGGCAGGTCTTTCATCTGTCACTTTCATGGCAAGGCACCAAATGTAGCAAGAAAAAAGAAAATGTGCTGCACCAGATCAGGATTTTTACCGAGGGCCCCTGAACTCTAGACAGGTACTCACCAATTAAGCTATCTGGCCAAAGGCAAGCAACCCTGTCTGACCAGTGACCAAAACAAAGAATTGTAACCTGAAGATAAGTGAATGCAAAAAAACAAAAAACAAACAAGCAAACAAAAAACAAATTATTAAACAAAAAGATAACAAAAAAAAAAAAATACCTATAATCAAATTGGGATTGGAACCAGGCTCGCTTTTTGGCAAGTGTAGGTTTACCTTTGATTGTGATCTAAGAACTAAACATTCCAGTCGGAGGCAGATATCTAGGGTTTTTGGATGGCGAAGGAGAGGGTTATATATTCTGTACTTTATACATTCCCTTGAAATTATGTTAGACCTCTTATGGATGCAATTTAGAGATCTTCTAAACTTCTCATGCAATACTTTAATTTAAAACATGGAGCCAAATGCAATTTAAAAAAAGAATTGAATAATTTATGAATAGTACTTACTCCAAAATGGATCAAATATGGTCTTACCCGCGTTCAAATTGCACAAAGAAGGATCAAATCAACTACACCATGTACTCTTTCTCTCTTGTGTGTATGTATATTGTATTACATGTATATGACTATATATAAATGTTAAATTACAATGTACTTTTTTTGCCCCATGAGGGCCCTTAATTGGTAAATAAACTAATTGAATTGAATTGAATTGAATTTTACATAGGTTTTAGAAGTGTGTGTGTGTGTGTCGGGAGGGGGGGGGGGGGGTTAAACCAACAAAAAAACAAAAACGTTTGTGGGGCTAAGCCCCAGTTTTCAAAGCCTATCTTATGTCTATCTTTTCAATTTGGTTATTAAATAGAACTAGTAAAAAATAATAAATATATTGCTTTTCCATTAGTACTGACTTTATTTCCGATTTTTTTTTTTTATCAAAGACGAATCGGTTTAATTTCTGTTAATTTAGTACTGTAAACACTTTCTTTGTTTTGTTTTTTTTTCTTAAGGTTCGCATGTATGTTTTGAAAATAATCAATGAAATTGAGAGCGCTGTTAATCATGTTAATGGGCCATTTTAACTGGGGAAGAGCAGCGTCTGAGCAACGGGTTTATTTTTTAAAGAATCTTTTATTCTCAACTTATATAACGTTATTAAACATTACTAATAAACGAGTATCACATCGATTACTTGACAGTTTCTTTTTATTTCTTCTTCTATACTGAAAGTTCAAGTATAATGAATTAATTAAATCAGAAAAAATCATGAAATCAATAAAATTAAACATGTTAAAGGAAATTACGAAAAATTAACCGACTAACATACAAACTACGAACGGACTTTGGGCGAACGTGTTTTAGAGCGAAAAGACTCTGGGCGAAATAGAATTAGGGCGAACGGCGTCAAGGGCGAACCCATTTTAGAGCGAACGAACATACAATCGCTAAAAAGAGCCCCCCCCCCCCCCTCCCCGGTTCCGACGCCTATGAACTAAATACATGTAATGATATGTGTATGAATTTATTTTCTATGGCTGTAAGGATAAAAGTGTCAATCTAAATACCATAACGTCTTTTTTCCAGATATAATCCGTAGAGAAAAATTGGGCAGAATGCATTTTTTATTATAAATTATCTCCTCTTATCACTTTTTCGGAAACAAGATATCTGCGTATCCGATTCTGTAAAGTATGTTATCAAGAATAATTTCCTGTTCGGGATGGTTTTTCCTTTGTTTGAAATGCTGAAAAAATGATAAAATTAAGACCCAAATCGTGCATAATGCTGATAAAAAGGATGCATTTACAAATTAACTCAACAATGGCAGGCTAAAAATTTGGAAAGGAGTCGCCAGAATGGTAAATTTGACGCCATATGGGTTGATGCTGTAACTGGGATTTCTAGAGATGTTGATGATAGAAAAGGTTTGTTTTCCCATTACTTATTGGGATTATCAAATACATAATCACCGGAGCGCTTTATAAAGACAGTTGACACTGTCTTATACGGAAGATTTTTGGAAATTTGACGAAAAGGGTTTGCTCATTTTGGTGCATATCCGAATTTCCTCGAAGTGAATTAGTATAAGGCGCCCATTAGGCAATAATAGAGCTTTATGAGATGTACCCTGATCCTTAATTCAATAATGTTCAGTGATATTAAAGATTTGAGTAAACTGTCATTAACTTTCAGGCTTAAACTGCAGACACTCTATTTTAACAGGAAAATATGTTTCTTTTTGATTAAAAAAACATTACAAAGCATGAAACTTACCTGAACAGATAGATTATACCCAGTAAATGTACTAAATGACCATTTTCAAATATTTCTAAGTGCAGTGGGTCTTTTTAACATAAAACATATAAGAGATAAGCAAAGAAAAGATAATACTAGCGTGTTTTCTTTATTTCCATATAATATTATTTCAAAATGCTTTACTAATGTAATTTTTCACTAGTCAGTTGGTCAGACTACTTTTTTGGCAATGTTTACTAGGCATGGGCTAGTGAGTTTTTATTAAGACTGCACATATATCAGACTTGTCGAAATCTGTCGGTCCTGTCGGCAAGGCTGGTAAAAATTGTCTGGACCTATTACCTTCAAGAAGAAATTCGAGCATGTATTGATCCAAATTTTAAAAAGATCTGGAACGCAGGTGTAGGTTACAAAACAGAAGAGATGGCCGCATGGTGACGATAGTCGATGAAATTGACATGAAACATTTATGTCTCTTATTAAAGACTCTCTAAAAGAAAGAAACTTGTGAGATTGAATGCTGTTGAAAATAATAAAGGACATTTAGGAGCAGTTATTTATTTTCCTTTTTCAGCGTCATAATATGACATGTATTTGATCTGACAAAACTTCATCCCGTCCGACAGAACATTTGACTTTGTCAGACCAAATGTCTGACAGTGATTTCAAAATTTTGACAAGTCTGTATATGCCTATAGGTGAAGCATTCTCTATATGAATAATTTGACTGCCAACCATATACTGAAAATTTATGTCCAGAGCTTTAATAAAATGATATCTTAAGTTGATCTATATATATGTAAGGATTCACTGTTGATTATTATTGATGAAAACAGGGCTCAATATTAACATTTGTTTGAATGTCTGTGTCCAGTTCATTTTGTGATTGTACAAGTCAATCTCCAGACACACTTGTCAGGTCGGACAAGTTTCTGTTTGTACCAATTTGAAACAATGTAAGTCTTATGGGCTCAGTCACACTTAACAGATAGTGTTGATGGACCAGCATGATTGAGACAAGGTTACAGATATTGCTACTGTATTTTTGATCAGTATTGTTTTTATTTTTCACGATAACTACATTCTTTTTTCAAATTTTTTTGCATCTGTTCAGAGTCGGACAAGTATAAACAGTGAATTTGGACAAGTAGCATTTGTTGGCAACTTGTCCGATGGACAAGTGTGTTATTTTAGTTACTGTTGAGACCTGGAAAATTAAAGAACGGACAAAAAACCCCAAGGTCTTTGTTACTAAAATTTCAGTCTTTTATTTAGCTGAGATTCAATATGAGTAGAGTGAGTAAAGTGAAATATTAACATGTGATTAATACTACAAATATCATTTTAGTATTGATTTTTTTTTTGCCAATATTGAATTCCATAAGATTTTTATTGAATTCTACAAGAACTGTTTTGCTTGCGCTTCTAAAAATTTGTTAACTTTTGTATGGTTTTGAATATTAATTAATAATTAACACCTTTATATTGTAGGAGTAGTACTATTCAACTGCTGAAAGGATCAATCCCATGGACCAATGTAACCCACTGCTTAGTTGTAGAACCAAATCAACCGCCCTGTGTTTATTCACAGCTTATAATGGAGACCCACCAACATTTCCAGTGCAGCGTAGCTTTAACCTATAAACATGCTAGAAGAGAAGGTGTAAAGCTGAAAACACAAGACAATAAACCTTCTTTGTGATGTTGATAAGTTACTTAGGAACCTTTTAATTGTTTACTTATTCACACTTGTTACCATGGATACAAACCAGTGCCAGGTGTGTGGGAATTTTTTCATCACGCTCACATCCCTCAATAACCACATAGAGACTCACAGCAAAAAAGAGCTGTACCATTGCATCTTGGGATTGAGGAACACCATAGCCATGTTGTCTAGGCAACCGTTGCCAGAGGCAACCTACCAGGAGACTGTCAATGTCACCGCCACTGACCTTTCACAGAACCACCACGCCCACAACACCAGCCCACCAGAAAAAACAGTCACCATGGTGACAAACCCAGCATCTGCCTCTTCCTATGAAATCCATACATCTGCAGAAAGTTCACAACCAGGGCTAATGCATCCCAAACCTGCTGCTTCCATAGAAAACACAATACCAATTACACCTCCTCACCAAGTTCTGGTTAATTCAGAACCGCATGCTCATTCTGAACCACATGCTACCGAATCTGGCTCACACCAAACCACTGAAAACCTGCAGAGTGCAGCTGCCCTTAATAATGTCACAGATTCTGGGAATGTAGGTCCTAGTGAGGGGGATATGTTGACATGTCCGATCTGTAAAAAGAAGCTGACCTCATCCTACACATTGTATCGCCACATGCAGAGCCACTATGACAAACAGGCTGACACATGTCAAGTTTGTGGAAAGGAGTTTGTGGGTAAGTACCAATAATTGAAAAAAAAACATGGGGATAGCACACTGTCTTCAGAAAAATATAAATACTTGGTATGTCTAAATATACTTTGTTCCTCACCAATTTTTCATCTAGAAGGTGAAGTGTGCAGATTATTGGTGGCCGGAATAAAGAGGCTGTACTGTATATTCCTGATAGAGGACACTTTTAATTTTGATACATTGTTCATTCTGTGTTATGTTGCCAAGTGATAAGTTCTTAATGAAAATACAAGTGTAAACATTATGCAAACATAGAATCAGGTTGTATCACAAGAGAGATCCTTTTCTTATATTTTAATACATAGATGTCTATTTTGTCTATTGAAATGTTATCTTATAACTTCAGAATGAAGCATCAAATATAGCAAATTCATTTCATTTCGTATTCTAAAGACTTGAAAGTATTCAGCGATTTATCAAGCACTTAGCAAGCATTTATATATACTTTTTAACATTACTCATTTACTGCATGTAGGTAAGCAGAGTTAGGTAGTCTTCTATATACATATATATACATATTATGATTTTTTTTTTCATTGCTAGGTAAGCGGAGTTTGGTCGTCCACATGAGGACGCACACCGGGGAACGCCCTTATAAATGTAATACATGTGGGAAGCAATTTGCTCAGTATGGCACGCTGTACCGGCACCGCCAAATACACAACAAAGGGGAAAATGCCAACAACCAGACTCCTGCAACCCCTGTCCCTGCAGAATCTGCCCAAGCAGAGGATCCTGCCAGTCAGAAACACTTACAACAGGGCTCAGCCAATCAAAAACACCTACAGCAGAGCCCAGCCAATCAGAAACATGTTCAAAACTCTGTACCTGCAACAGTGGGTTCAGAGAGTGACCAGGTATCATCTGAGAACAGATTAGAGAGAGTTCCCATGGTGACTGAAAACAGAGATGTTTCTGAGGTTCCTCGGGCTCCTGAAAAGACTACGATTCTGAGTGTTCCGAGCACAGAGCATATGTCACATGATCAGCAGGAACTGGGAGAAAGTTCTGGGTACCCCAACCCTCCCCATGTGTCCGACACTGAGGCGATCAATAATCTCTTGTATCAACATGTGTTTGGGGACCAACAGCAGTTTTTGCAGGGTTATCTACAGAATCAACTGTTTGCACAGACTCTTGCGAGATTTCCTAACTGGGGCTCTGAGTTTGCTCTTATGGCTGGATACCCCGGTTATGCTGGTTTAGATTACAAGAAACCAGAAACGGATCAAAATTACGACATGTCAGTTTTACCAAATCCACAGGTAGAAAAAACTCGAGCTGATACCTCAACAGATCAACTTCAAGAAACTTTCAGTGACAACTCTGTCACTTCCTCCAAGTCTGAACGTCTCGAGTCATTTTCTAGTCTCACCGAGTCACTACTACGCAGAAGAAATCAAAGTCCAGTTGTGACCACCGTCAATTCTGCTGTGGGTCCAGGTATTCCTGCCACCCAGACTCTAGCTGACCCCTCCACCTCGGCGTATCCCTCACCCCTCGGTATTCACCCACCACCTCCCCCTAGTTATGAGGCAGCAGTCCAGCAATCTTTAGGATCACCAGCACTATTAAACACACCCGTTGTTGAAAATGATCAAAGTCAGAGCTCTACGTCCACTGCAGTCAACATGACCCTTGAGGTCTCCTGTAAAGTCTGTGCTCAGAAGTTCCAAACCTCTGCAGAACTGACCAAACATATGTCTCAGCACAGTGAGAAGAATTTTGTTTGGTGTCAGATTTGTCATAGTAAGTTTACTACGCCGTTCTCTCTGCGTCGACACATGAAGATTCACACAGGAGAAAGAGATGAGGTCTGTGGTGTTTGCGGCAAGCGCTTCATTGATAAGCCTCGCCTCGTGGTGCACATGCGGACACATACAGGGGAAAAGCCTTATGCATGCTCCATATGTCCTAAAACATTTTCACGGCGAGAAGTGCTGAAGCGCCATGAGAAGACGCATACTACATTTAAACCATTGGAGACATCAACCCCAAAGCACATTTATGAGGACATACCAAGGAAACAGGAAGTTGAGGTAAGAAAAGAACCGGAACATTCTCAAATGGACTCTGGAATGTATCTGTCCTTTGATGAAGATAAGGTGGCAATGATGACCTACTTGCCAAGCGATCATCCAGAAAACACTACAGCAATATCAGAGCCAGAGCCGGAGAAGCCTGTAGAGGAGGCCCGGTATATGTACACAGCAGATGACATCAAGTCAGACACACCTCCAGGAAGTGATGTCACCTACCAACATGAAGATATACCCATCATGCCTCAGCAAGAGGAAGTTGCTGCAGAAGTAAGCGATACTGAAAATTCTTCTCCAAAAGCCATAGAAAACAACCAGGAGGTATCCACAGATGTTCCATCCGACTCAGGAAGTGGAAAAGATGCGGAGGTGGATCGAGATTCTCGCACCATGAATGAGATCAACGACATGTTGATGAGAAACTTCACCAGTAAGGTAGATGGCGCTAAACCGTATCAGTGTGATGTGTGTAACAGGAAGTACACGATGCAGTCCTGCTTACGACGCCACATGCTGGTACATACTGGATTAAAGCCTAATCGATGTCAGGTGTGTGGAAAGTCATTTGTGGAGAAGCAGCAACTATTGGTTCACTTCAGGTGAGCACTTTGATTAACCAGACAGGTGGCTAAAACAGAAGTTAGCATGTTTTCTATAGAATTTTTACATAAAATTATATACCATTTTGATATGCTTCTTGTTTCAAAAAAAATTCTACAAATAATCAGAATTTTAAAGTTTTATTTATATATTTTTTAAATAAAAACTGAACTTTTGATACCTTTTTTTCCTAGAAAAATACATAGATTCACTATGGATGACCCATAATTTTATCAGTTTGTTTCTTTTGAAACAAAGAGATTTTAAGGAACCTCTATAAACTAATGGAAAATATTTTTTTTGAATATTGAGAAAATCATTTTATAGAAAGATGTAAGTGCTCTCTGTGTATTTCATTTTCAGCATATTAAACCTGCCATTCACCCTCAGGAAAAATTTTCAAAGACAACAGGGCTCTCACACCAGTTTTTGGGACTGGGGCTGGGGCTGTGAAAAATGGGAAAATTAGCGACCTTTTGAGGAAATTAGGGAAAATCATAAATAGACAATATCCATTAAATTCATTATATATTGAGTTTCTGGTGGTTGTTATCAACTAAATTTCTGTTTTGTAATATAGAAAAAGATAAATAACAAGTTTAGGAACTACATATTTTACTAAATGTTCTTTAATATTTGGGGAAGTGACCAAATGAATTGGGAAAATTAAAACATTAAATTGGGAAAAAAGGTACTTTTTTTGAATTGGGAATGGGGCCTTTGAACGGCCCCAATTATAGAGAATCAAGAGCCCTGGACAACATAGTACTGATGAACAGAAATCACTGTTGCTTATTAAAATGGGGAAAATACATACAAATAAAGTGTTCAATTAATTTAGTTCGACCTAATAAAAAGTTAAAAATGGTTGAACTGATTACAAGTAGAGTGAAATGCTATAGATTTCAATTTATATAGTTTTAGACCTAAGGGCAGATCACTCTGTGTAAAAAAACTATGGAATAAGAACTCTTTAGTGTGTAGTGTATAGAGGCTCTTTAATATTTTTTAGTTTGGCAGACTAAAATTGATGACTTATTGATTTTAGTTCATCTTTTTGTAACTTTCTTTTGGTTTGTTGGTTTTTTTGGGGGGTTTTTTTTTTGTATCATTTATTCTTTAGCTATTGTTAGGAATAATTTAATTTTTTTTTGATTGCAGGATACACACAGGAGAACGTCCTCACCAGTGTTCTGTGTGCGGGAAACGCTTCACTCAATACGGGACTCTACACAACCACATGCAGGTAACATCAGATATAATTTCTACAATTTTGTGTGGAATGAGTTACACTACAAAAAAATTACTTACCTTTAATTTAGTTTTAGCTGAAAGACAATTTTACTTAATTATTCTAAAAAAAAACTACCTTAAAACATTTTTAACCAGTTTTGTTGTTTGTTTTGTTTCCATGTTTATTTATTAAGGAGGTACGAGGTACTTCGAGTCCACTTTTCTTTTATTGCGTAATCTGTCCCTCACATTCAGCTTTCTTACGGTATAAAAATTATGTTCTTGTTGGAGTAATGGGACCACCTTCTTCATTTATCTGTCTTCTCACTATTCTTGTGAGGCTTAAAATTTTCATTTTTCACTATGTGGTATACATCTAAATTTACGTGTCTGATTTGCACTTTGTCAAATATTAGTGTGCACCTTTTGCATATTAACCATGGGGATGAGGGGGGTTACATGTATGTCTCTTTTAGACAGTTCTAACTAAGCTACCGTATATACTCACCTATAAGTCGGTCTGCCTATATGTCGGTTGTATTTTTTAAGTTTAAATTTGAGGGATTGACTTGCTAAAATACAATCTTTTTATGACTCGCATATAAGTCGGATAAAGGGTTTTGGACCAAAGTTTAACTCCTAAAAAACCGACTTATAGGGGAGTATATAGGGTACATTGTTTAATTTTCTGTAGGTTCATCGGAAGCAGCAGTTGAGTCAGGCTATGAATGTGGGGAGTAAAGGTGAAGAGGAATTGTCAGAATTTATGATAAAGAGAGAAATCAGCGAGGAGGACGAATTCCCAAAGCAGTCACAAGAACTAGTCAACGGTGAAGCCGTGCCCTCGGAAATCGAAAGTGCAATTATCGGGCGAGAGAACCAGAGTGATGGTCCTGTCATCAAGTCTCCGTACGTATCAGACGAGAGCAGAAGTCTAGATATAAGTAACAAAATGAGACCTAATGTTGCTACGCTGGAGGATAGTCAGGAAACAGCATCAGTCACAGGGGATGAGGACAGAGAAAATTCAAAAGAGGAGGTCAGTCCAGGGGCAGAAAATGTTGGTGGGCAGGTGGAAGATACGGACACTTCTGAGGGTAATGAAAAACCAGAAGGAACGGGAGGCGGGTCTAAGTCTGAGAGACCCGCATATGACTTTCTGTACGGGTATCCTACCACTAGTCTTATGTCACTGAATTTATTGGCAAACACGTCTGAAGTTCACCAGAGTCTGATGGAACACATGGCCCAGATACAGAGGGCGCCAGAGATGCACCAGAGTTTACTCGAGTACATGGCTCAGTTACAGCGAGCACGAATGGTAGGCCTCACAGACTACAACACCGCGTTCACGCGTCCCCCAGTTTCTTGTACATACACATCATCTAGTGATGTTGGCCTTAATCTGACGACATCTGAAAGTCATACCAAAGACATAGGTCTGAATTGTGACATGTGCGATGCCAAATTCACAGATCAGGAAACGCTAGATAGCCATATGAAGACTCATGCGCTAAAAAATGGAAATGACACAATGCTGAGTCAAGCCACAGAGGCAACTTCACCGACTAAAAGTGACAAATTTCACACATGCAAAACGTGCGGAAAGAGTTTCAGTGCTTCGTTTTGTCTAAGACGACACGAGATGATTCACAGTGGCAATAAACCTTATAAGTGTGAGTACTGCCCAAAGGCGTTTGTGGAGAAACAGCATCTCACCTGTCATGTACGCATTCATACGGGGGAAAAACCTTACTCGTGCAGCACGTGCGGAAAAGCATTCACGCAGTACGGAACGCTACACAAGCACCTGCGCACACACAACAAAAACAAACCACACAAGTGTCAGTTCTGTGAAAAAGCGTACTATGAACGTAGACAACTGACCAATCATATGTTAACCCATTTTGAAAACAAAGGGAAGTAACTCGTCCACGCAAGCCTTTTAGGAAAAAAATTCCTAGAGGTAGCAAAAGCTTTAGAAGTAATATTTTTGTGGTTGTAGATTTTCCAGAATATTTCAATTGTAGGGGCCAAAATGTGTCTAATAGATATCATCATCATTATCTTGTGAAAATTGTCAGAAATCAAGAAAAAGCTTAATGAAAAAGCATTATGCCTTAAGGATTTCTAAGGAGCCATTTTTCTGTTAATTTACTAAGAAGTTAGCATTTTATGATTATCAAAAGATGTTTCTTTTTTTTAATTTTAAGTATATTGGAAAATTAGAGGTTTATTCATTATTATGGTATGTTTAAAGATAAAATTCAAATGATCTTTGAAGATCCTTATCTAAATGTGTTTTTCATGAAATTTTTTTTTTATTAAATATATCAGATTTATTAAATTTGGCAAAAGAAAAAAAAAAAAAAACTTTAAGAGCATTCTAATATTGAACATAATCAAATCTAGTGGATGAAATTAATAGAATTAATGATTTTTGCATAGTTATTGTTATTTTGGAAGAAAAAAGCCTTTGTTAATTATGGTTGTTTTTTTGTAAATGCTATTTTTACACTTTTTAATGTCAAACAGTTTTCAATAGGGCTCACTTTTTATATTCATTTTTGATATTCAGTAACGATTATATAAAAAGATCTGGGTGTTTTTTTCTTTACACTGAAAACAGAAAGATAGATTGCCAATCAATTTTGTAAACATTTATCAAACTGATTTATTTATTTTTTATTCGAAGAAATCTTTGTTCTATTTATCTTTTTTTAAAAAAAGAATTTGATGAATTCACAAGGTTTACTTAAAAAAGTTATTTGTAAAGACTTTCTGATTATTTTTTATTGATCTTTTCTTTTAAAAGAATTTCATAAACAATGTTTAATTCACGAGGTTGAAAAGTTACAATTTCATTAGTCATTTATATATATTCAGAATTGTTGTTACATTTTTTTTTTACAGTTCACTTTATACATGTTATGTTCTAAACTGAAAAGCATGAACTGTATGAAAAATCTGAAGAGGAGTTTCATTTTTTATAGAAGTCCTCTAATTTTCATGATCATAGCTTTATTTTGCCCCTCTTAATTACCAAATAAAGGGTGTTTCCTTAAAAAAGATCTGGTCAATTTTACAAACATTTCTTCTTGAAATACACTGGTAATGATAATTATTTTTTTTTATTCCAATAATTAACTAAAATGCACTTTTGAAGGGAAAAAACTAATGCTAAAATCATTTTCTTTTCATGTTCTTGAGGGTCTCATATTTCATTGAATGTCCACTTTGAATCCATAAACAAAACCTGACTGATAAAAGAAAACGAAGGCATTCTGATTAGAACCAGAATACCGCTAATATTCTGCTGAACTCACAGTAATGATCATATTTATGTATATTTTTTACATGTAGTAATAGACAAGACCTAGCTATATAAATGTAAAAACCCATTTATCATACCCTCAGCTATATGTATCTACCGCTTCAGCAAAAAAAAAAAAGAGTTGTCATTTTTATTAATGGTGCCAAATTGTTGACAATATTTTGTTCACATATCGGTAGAAATTTGCGTGTGTACAATGTTTATTTTGATGTGCTGTCCCCTATTAACATCGCCTCTATATTCACAGACTTCCCATTGGATACCTACAGTGTTATTTATGGCGTATCAAATTGTATTACGTCATAGAGAAAGATTATGACGTAGTGGATGTTAAAGAATTTTTATTGGTTGCTATTTATAGTAAAGTCATTGATTGGCTACTATTTGCAGATCTGTCAGTTTAATCTTCTATGTTATTTTTTTTCCATTATTTAGAAATGCACTGGGACGTCCCTAGAAAGTGGAAATTCCATTTTTTTAAAAAACATTTCATTGTTTATCCGTATTTTTATATTTATTCAGTGTATAAATGATGTTTATTTATGATGTTTGACAATATCTACCCTATAACTGGATAATAGTATATGTTCTCAAGATTGTTTTCAGGTAGTTAAATATGATTTTTTAATCAGTTCACACTTAGTATTATTATATATTTGCAGCAATATTATTTCAGCATTTCTTAAAGTAATTATGAAGCATTGGCAATTTTTGCCCCCCCTCCCCCCCTTTTTTTTAAAGGAAAAATTATAATAAAAATACATGTATCTTTTATATTGAGTGTGGAAAGACTTAAATTCATTGTTGATTTTCCCAAAGTTCCAATGAAAAGCCGGTACTTTGTCATAGAACATGGGGTACTTTGTCACAGAACATTGGGTACTTTGTCACAGAATATTGTGTAATTTGTCATAGATCATTGGGTACCTTGTCATAGAACATTGCAGATCTCACTCCTATTATTTTTTGTTTCCATGTACATTATCATTGTAATGTTCATGAAACTAATAGCAATTATGTTTAATAATTGAGGTATTGTGAAAAAAAAAGGCAGTGAGCATAAAGTGTCCCGAGTACAGATCAAAAGTAACTGTTACATGTACTATAAAAGTATTTGAAGTTCATCATTCCTTTTCTTCACTCGTGTAAAGTTTGCTTTAATTAATTACTGTATACAGGGAAATTTCGCCCCCAGTTTTAATTTCTCCCCTTTCGCCCTACCCTCATTTGGGCGAATTTTAAATGGGGCGAATTCAAAGAATACAGTATAATTTCTTAAACAAAACTGTGAATGGGCAAAATTAAAACGGGGCAAAATTGTTTGCATGTGTGAAACGGCAAAAATAATACGGGGCGAAAATAACCCTGTATACAGTAACATTAATGATTTTTTAAAATAATTCTAATTTATTATTTAAATGAACACCTTGTAAGATATATCTGATAGAAACAGCCATTTCATTTGACAATTTTAAAGAAGAAAAATCCTTTATCACAGCTAGTGAGAGTTATCTTTCTTAGCAGAAGTCTAAGAACCTTAAGAACTGTTTTTCTATTGACTTCTTGAAAAATTTTCAGTAGATGATGTTATGTCATTTAAATTCATGATTTTATTTTGCTTCACAAGGGGTTGTACAGTGTGTTCAACTTATCCTCAGTGTGTTTTCTTTATTGGATACAGAAAGGATTTCCCATTGTTAATTTAAGAACATATACTTTAATTGAACCAAAGGCAATATACTTGTACTGCATCTTGTATGTCACAAATGAGAGAATGTGTTCATAGTTACAACATGGTGGTCATTCATCATTAAAGTGCTGAAAACTGCCTCTATCACAGTTTTTGATCTGAAACTTATCATGCTTTTTTCTTGTACATACTTTGGTGCTATGTTATATTTAGAAAATATTACGCATTTAAGATTGGAATTTATAGAGGTATTTGTATTTTGCTTTTCACTGTGTATCTATTTTTAGATGGGGTCATGTGACCGCATCTATTTTAAGTCTTTCTAGGGGCGTCCTAGTGGAGTGTTTGTGTCAGATGTTTGCTTTAATGTTAGATAATGCATGCTGTAAGTGCCATTTATTGACCGAGGCTGAAGGCCGAGGTCTTAAGCCAGTGCTAGGTAGATGTTTGTGACGTAATCATTGTTATCAACCATTTAGATCTAGTTGTCTCCTTATCAATTAGATATGAATAAATATTAAGAAAATGTTATACAATTTTCTTTTTGTTTTGATGATTGGGACGTACACAAGGCATATACATGGTTTTTCCTTAAAGTTAAAACTTCAGCTGTCTGTCTATCCATACATCATTTATGAATGGAAAACCCTTTATTATACCCCAACTTGAAAAATGGGGGTATTATAAAATTTAATTAGACTTCCACAGAAACTACATTACACTGTGTCATTAAGAATCTCCTATTTTACCTTCTGATCAGATAGATATTTGGGGTTTCCCATCATAAAACATGGACAATGCCATTCTTTCTATTGGGAATACCCATCTCTTATCCATTATGTGTAAAGGTTGACTGAAAATATTTTTGTTGAACAACTTTGTGCTCTATGTTTTCTAATTAAATTATTGTGAATTTGAATCTCTTTGCTGACTTCATTTACATGCGATTAACCTCTTTATGACCTGTTAAGAATCCTAACAAGCCATGTGGACTTGTATCATCACGGGAAAATGCACCCTCCCCCCCCTGTAAACTTGCTAGCTCGCATTTGAAACGTACTTAGTCTTATATCGGTCAGCATGGACTTGTTTGGTTCATCTTGTTACAGCATTTTATTGCCAAGGTTTTGTAAATAGAAAATTGTATTTGTAGTTGATAGTGATTCTTGAACGTATTTTTCGTCTTTGACAGAAAAAAAACATCATGTCAAGTATTTTTAGCTCACCTCGACGAAGTCGAGATGAGCTTATGCTATACCCCCGGCGTCGGCGTTCCGGTGTAACCGTGATTTCTGTCGCTAGTGCTCAGGGTCGCTCTTAATAGAATATATAGGGAAAAGAGCGACTCAAATCACTGGCCTCTGCGCATGCCTGGGGATTTTAGTCGCTTCAAATCAAAGCGGTGCTCTACTGGTTTTAAATCCACGGTAATAGTATCCGCAGTCTTAGCTTTTCGTGTTTTATTTATTTATTTTAATCCTAAAAGTATGCAAAACAATTATATATGTTATTTAAAACTTAATATTGAATTTTCTTCGTATAGGATTATTAAATTATGTTTTAGATTTCTAAAATCTATTTATTTTCTAAAAGAAAATAAACGACTTCAAATTTAATTAAAAATTTTGTAAATTGAATATATATTTAAAAGGAAAAGAAGGGGGGAAAACATGCTACGGTTAACAATCTCTCAGTCATTTGTTTCAACAGGTGTGAACCATGCCCAGGGCGTTATCTTAGACAGGTGTCAACAATTACCTGTATGTTAATAACTCACAAACACAGCTCCCCGTGGTCAATTTTTACCAAAGGTGTTAAGTGTGTTTTTATAACCACTTCATTATATACACTTGTATTTTGTCTTCAATGAACCATAAATACCTGTATTTCACCAGAATATAAAGTGATAATTCTTATCTCATTTCGGCCTATTTTTTATTTAACAGATAAATTAAATGACGGGAAAATAATTCTGAACAAATAAATAATGACGACATAATAATTTTAAATACGTTTAGGGTGGTTGGCCACTTGTCCGGCGAAATGATAAGAAAAAGTGAAAAAAAAAATGGATGTGGTTTTAATTTTATGTAGCTGATATAAATTTTGAGTTTAATAAATCTGAATATGAAGAATTGAAGAAACATTAT